AGTATCATTGGTTGGAGTGAATGGGAATCAGAAAAAGCAGTGACATTGCCCTCTCAAAGAGTGGAGAACATAGACTGAAAGTCACCGTGGACTCCCCATTTAGGTTGATAGTTCATTTCTGTGAGTTTCATCATGAAGTTCAGTGATATAGCATGGATCAAGTTCAGGGATACAGCATGGATAGGATGGGTTTTTTTTTTTTTTTTTTACCCCTTTTGGCTAATAAAACCAGACAATGAGACATGGGAGTTGCGAGCGTCTGTGGGGGATGATTGCAGTCGGTCCATGGAAATACACTAGCAAGGATGGAGGTAAGAAGAGGACAGCCTGATAGAGAGTGAGGTTGGCAGGGACAATAAAAAAGAGGCTCAAAGAAGTCAAATAAATTAAAGAGAAGGAAGAGGGGAGCTCAGGGGTAGAAGGACCAGGTGAAATAGTCTAAGAGTGGGATGTTAGGTATCAAAATTTCCAGGTGGTGATGACAAGCTCCAGGGGCACCAGAAGGAAGAAGGAAGAAAAAAAAAATCATTATACTTAAGGATGTCAAGGAAGTAAAAGTCCAGCCTCAAAATAAATTGGAAAATCATTCTTATTTAGTTGTATGTATTTCAAGGCCATCTGAAATCCTTAATTGGAGTTAGGTGATGGAGTGCCCGTAAGTAGTCATGGTGGCTAACTCCCTGTGGGGCTGTCTACTCTGTGAACATCATTGTAGGGTATACTTTTGAACATGGAACAGACTTCTTTGTTACCACCAGTTACCACCAGGGCATTGCTTTCAAAGTATTCTAAAATGTGTAAATTTTTATGTCTTGATTGGTCGACAGTGCTAGTTTTTTAGTTAACAACAGTGTAAGATTACCTGTGGCCTTCTGGTAAAGTCTAAGGCCTTTTGTGGTGACATACAAAACCCTGCCAACAAAATAACGTGCGTTTATGTGTCCTCTTTCATCTCCTGCTGCTGCTTTGAGATGTTCTAACCACACCAAAGTACTCAGAAGCTCCCAGTGTCAGGTCAAGGCTATTTGTCTTTGCAAACACTGCTCCCTCTGCCTGGCATGACGACCCATCTGAAGTATCAACTTCAGTGTCAAGCCTTTTCCTGAAAGGTTGAACTGTCCGAAAGTGCTATTTTGAAGAGTCAAAAAATATCACCTTAGCAAAAAATGTCCTATTGTTAGTAATTTGCTACCACTATGACAAATTTGAGCCGTACCTTGTTAAGATCCTTGCTGAACTCTGTGCCACGCGCTTTGTATTCACACTCGTTTAATTCCCATGACAAAACTGAAGGGGGGCGAGGGTGAAAATGTTTCCATTTATTAGACAAGGGTTGTGAGACCAAGAGTGTCCTTCTAGGAGAAAGTATATCAGAAATGATGGAACTGGGCTTTGACTTTGAAGGCAAAGGGTCATACCCTTACTTATTGCTGTGGCTGCATTGCCCAGCGCACACCTGATACAGAGCTGTGCTAGGGACCCATCCAAACTGACAGCAGACTTTGCTCAGGGCCCCCACAATTCTGAAGTCTGCCACTTTACAGTCCTCAAGCAACTTGACTTTGGATTTACCTTGATGAATGTTGCTGCTTCCCTGGATTTCAGAAAGATAAATTTTGACAGGAGAAACAAAGAGCCTGAACTGCCCTTAAGATCTTAATCCTGTGATAACTATTTATTTGTCTTAAGTTACTGGCTTGATCTGTTTTGTTACACAGGCTCCTAAGTGGCAGTGTAGCCGTCTAGGAAGTTCGTTTCTTTGGATCATGAAAAGCACATGTAGATTTGCTGGCGTGTGGAAGCCAAGTCTCAGTGTAATGCAAACAGAGGGCCCAGGACATCTGGGTTCACATCCTCAAAACTCTTTTTCTCATATTGACATAGAATTTTCCTGGCGTTCCTAAGCACAATGGTGCTCTCTTAGTAAGACCAGGAATCGGTTAGCAAGTACAGCACAGCTACTCTGAGGCCGGAAGTCGGGCCAACATTCTTTCTTGATTGAAATTTTGACTCTGTAGTCTTCACTGAATTTCTGCTACCAAAGTTCACAGCAACAGTTATCAAAATTTAGTGTGCATCAGAATCATCTGGAGATTGCTGGGCCGCATCCCCACAGGCTCTGATTTAGTCTATCTGTCCTGGGGCTCTAGATTTGGCAATCCAGTCAAGCTCACAGGTTAATGTTGATGTTACGGGGCCCAGAATGATGCCTGGGGAAGCTCAAAGGGCTGATCAACACCTGCTTTACAGGACACCAAGTGAAGTTGGCTAAAGAAGCAAAAAATCTCTTTTGTATTTACCTGGATAGAGTTGAAGATCATTCTCCCTAGTAAAGTAACTCAAGAATGGAAAAACAAGCATCCTGTGTACTCGATACTAATTTAGAACAAGTAGATGAACAACTCCAGGCCCACATGAGAGGAAAGGCACAATAAAATTCAAGAAGGGGGAGGGCACAGGGGAAGAAGCTCAGTCAGCTCCCACCTAGTGGGTACAATGTAGGGGTATGTGGCTCACCTCTGGGTGAAGGAATCAAATGCAACTTGGATGTTTCCTAACGTGCAAATAATGTAACCTAATCGTATGTACCTCCATATTAATCTGAAATTTAAAAAAAGAAATCAGAAAAAAAAATTTGAATAAACATCTGAATGTTGAGTTGTACAAACACACACACACACACACACAAATAGTGACTTTAAAAATGTTTTTTCTCCTGACTTTTGACATTGTGTTGTACAGGCAGTGGTTCCTAGTGTATGCAGGGAGGCCAGTGGGCTGGAAGCTGGGGTCCTTCCTCTCAGGAGCTCTTTTTCCAAGACCTTGGGGAAGCTTTCTTCTCTGTGACCTTCACGGCTTCGGTGTGTTCTGTTCTTAAATTCGTTCTGGAGGAAGATGCTGTATTAGATCAATCAGTCTTGCAACACAAAAATGAATGCAAAGAGTTTTCAAAAGAAAAATGTTCTGTTAATGCAATAAGAAATGTCAATATTAGAATCAGAGGACACGAAATGATGATTTCTCATTTTCCCTTGTTTAGAGCCTCAAGGATAATTTGCATTTTTATTAGATTTAAAACAGTGTGAGTCATGAAGATCAACAAATTTCTTTTCAACAGGAGTCCTTCGTGTTTGAGCCCAACTGCCTCTTCAAAGTGGATGAATTTGGCTTTTTTCTGACCTGGAAAAGTGAAGGCAAGGTAGGCACAGAACACCGTGTTGCTCTTCCTGCTTTCTGATTTGAGCCATTTCAGTTTTCAACATGTAGACCGAGTGCCTCAGCAGGCCACGGACCTCACACCACCTACTCCTTCATTCCATTCATTCAAGAACTGTACCAACAAGCCTCCGTGTGTCAGACATAGGGGAATACAATGATAATCAAAGACAGTCTCTTATTCCTCATGGAGTCCAGTCTAGGAGCAAAGTTAGACATGTAAAAACAAATGATGTCAGTCATTGAGTATTGTGGAAGAGAAGTTTGCATTGTTATAAGTGCTTAAAATAGGCAGGTCTGATTTAATCTGGGGAGTTAAGTAGATCTCCTAAGAAATGCTTGAGCCAACATTAAAAGTGTGCTCATCCCTTCATGTCCTGGGACTTAATTTGATGTACGGCACAGTTACACATTTAGTGAACAGTTGAGCTGAACTTGAAAGCAGTAGGACTGGAGTTAGATAAAAGTAAGCCTTATTCCCATGTAGTGTTCTATGTACCCCTATGTTTAATGACACACAGACATTATTAACAAGACACGTATTATGTGTACAAAAGTAACAGCATCTTATAAACATTTTATAAATATTTAGCGCTGCATTTTGAAATAGTATGTTTGGGGTCTTTACTATGTCTGATCACTGGAAATAATTATTGTTGTTATTTGGTTTTCCCTCCCTCTGCCATCTTACTGTAATCAGCGTTGCCGTTGTGGTCAGAAATCTTTGCTAAGCACTTTGTCTGTGTTATAGGTCTGGTAGAAGGCAAGCTCACGGCTGTGCTGTATTTTCTTTCCAGGAAGGGCAGGTACTAGAATGTTCCCTCATCAACAGCATTCGGCTGGGAGCCATACCAAAGGTACCTGTGTTTGCTGTTTTTCTAAACACAGATTTACTTGTATTGGAAATGGTCTTCAGAATGATGTTTAATGTGTTACTGCTCCAGAATCATCAGCTAAGTATTAAGGACAGACACTGCTTAGAAAGATTTCTCATCTGTAACCGTTGGGTGGTTTGGACTGCATTATTGTTCATTATATTAGAGATGCTATTAACCCTTGAAAACCAAGCCCCTTGTGTGGTACCAACATCAGGGAAACAGTTTCCTTAACACAGAAATTAATTGGATAAGCCTGCTTTCCCTGTTATTTTTTTAAGCAAACCTTGATTTACTTCTCATCTGTGGTTGTTACTGAAATTTAAATGGCTCCAGTAGTCCCATAATTGGACACCTGTCCACTCAGGCATTGGCTCACCTTAAAGGCTCAGTTTGCCTTTGAGAGGAGGAAAAAAATAACAAAACTTACAAATCAGTCCTCATCATAGTGATCAATTTGTTTGAATAAGAAACTCTTTACGTAAGAGTGCTAGGAATTTAAAAGATGGCTTTTTCTTCCAAAATATTCTTTTCCAAGGGGAAGTGTTTATTCCCTTTTTCATAATAGCCCTGCAGGGTTTTAGCTATACAAAACAAAATTACATTCCTTACTTTGTTTTTCTTTTTTTTTTTTTTTAAAAAAAAAGGTTGTCTTCTTTTATGTTAATTAAACTATATGTTGGCATTTCCTTCTGAGTTCCTTTGGAGAACAAAGACACTACTTTATTTACTAATCAGGGTAAACCTGCATAGCCTTTATTCTAGGTAAGGATGCCATGGCTCCTAGAGATACAAATACTCATTCTTTATATTCAGGCTACTTAAAGGACTTAATCTCATTTGGGGGAATAATCCAGGGTTGCTGGTTGTTGTAGTGCTCTGTGTACTCAGATGAAACCCCCCCTGACTGTCCTCTGATGAGAGGGAAGCCCCTTTAATTTCTATGGACACAATTCCCCCCAGTCAGATCCTTTCCTAACCCACTGCCATATTCCAGGTCCTCCAACCAAAAATCTAAACAAAGATTCTCACACCTTGTTTGCTAAATCCAAAATGTTATAATATACCTTTCGTATCAAATAATTTCAAGTAATGTGCAGCACCACAAACTCTTCTACGTTACTCCATTAGTTTAGAATGATGCTAGATATCTGGGTATTTTAGATAGAAAAAAATGCTGTTATGTGTATTTTTACTTATGTGTGGTAGTTTATTTTTATGTTATTTCCTCCTCCATACTGTGGGATCTAACTTTTCTTTTTCTTATTTGCATCCCTCTACATAGGATCCCAAAATCTTGGCTGCTCTTGAAGCGGTTGGAAAATCAGAGAATGATCTGGAAGGGCGGATAGTTTGTGTCTGCAGCGGTACAGACCTGGTGAACATCAGCTTCACCTACCTGGTGGCCGAAAATCCAGAAGTAACCAAGGTAGCCTCAGTTCAGTGGCCTCCCTCCCTCCCTTCTGCCCGCTTGTGTCTGTGGTGTGTGTTTAATTTGCAGGTATAAGATCATTTTTAAAAATATTCTTAAATTGTTTGGTAATTTACAGTCTTAAAAATTTGCATTGCTTTGCTGGCATGTTTCTATCGCTTTTTAACATGGCACTCATGTAGGTCAACAACCCAAATACCTAGTATGACTTATTGTAGGAAAAACTAGCACAGTACTTCTCAAAATTGAATGGGCACAGGGATCCTCCTTTCACAGGACCTTGTAAAAGTGCAGATTCTGATTGAATAGGCTGAGGTGGGGGCAAGATTCTTCTTTCTGACAAACTAGTGGATGAGGCTGATCCTGCTGATCAGATAGCCACAATTTGAGTAGCAAAGATCTAGGTTGGTTCTGCCCAGTAGAAATATAATGCAAGACATGTATATAATTCAAATTTTTCTTGTTGTCACATTTTCAAAGTAAAAAGACAAAAGTTGAAATTAATTTCAATAAAATATTTAATACAATATATCGAAAATATTGTCATTTTAATATGATAGCATATGAAATTTATTAGGGATGTATTTTACATTCTTTTGATTACAGTGTCTCTCCTAAATCTGGACTGTCTTTTCAAATCAGACTAGCTGCATTTCAGGTGTTCAGTAGTTGTGTATGGCTGATGACTGCCATACTGGGCCGTAATGCAAACTTTCCCAATGTACCATCATCCAGGCAACTGAATCTCAAAGAGATTTTGGCCGAAGAAATAGAAAGCCTCACACTTAAATCTTTTTGTGTGTGTGAATCATTTATTTTCAGCATGATTTTATCTTTGTGCAAGGCTTCCATTATCTTTCTATAATATATGTGAAGAGGATGGAACCTTTATTTTCCCACTGCGGAGACATGTATATGGGGCAATGAGGAGGTATTTCATTTCCCCTTTATTCCTACAGTACAAACTCAGTGTAGGGTTGAATGAGAACAGTGTCATTAGAACTATTAAATTTTAGAGCTAGCAGGACATGTACAGGTAAGGTCATTTGAGGACACTGAACCGTGGATCTGGAGATAACTGGTGGTGGGAAGTAAACTTAAAGATAAGATTTGGACGTTTCTCTCTAGTAGCGTTTCCTCTGAAATGTAAGAGGAGCTCGCCAGACGAGGTCTGAAAACTCATTCTGTACCAGATTTTCCATTCAAACACAATGCTATTTAAGCCTGCTTTCATTGGAAGAAACTAAGTATTTCAGGCTTGGTGCCTGTAGCTCAGCAGCTGGGCACCAGCCACATACACTGGAGCTGTCGGGTTCAAATCCAGCCTGGGGGCTCGGCACCTGTGGCTCAAGCGGCTAAGGCGCCAGCCACATACACCTAAGGTGGCGGGTTTGAATCCCCAGCCCGGGCCCGCCAAACAACAACG